CCCCCCAGTGTGCTAAAAATTGTTTTGTTTTGAATGAAGGAAAAAGATATATAAGGTTAAAAACCCCACGTCACCCCAGTCAAAAAGCAGCCGGAGGAGGTACCTCATAGCTGCCAGGCCTCTACCACATGTTCCAGCAGGGCAGGCTTCTCCTCCAGGGCCAAGACACCAAGACAAGGTGGGGCGGGAGGTCTGCAGGCACCGAGCTGGCAGCCGGAAGAGACGCGGAAGAAAAGACACACTGACCGTCACTCGTCTCTTCAAATGCAAGACCACCCTGGCTGCCCTCACCCAAGACAGACACACAGGATCAGAGGACACACATGCCGATGGACCTACAGGCCCCGCACTCAGACCTGAGCATGCTCAGAACGGAGCGTGGCGTCGGCGTAGGCCGAAGTGTTGCATGTAGCCGGTCTTGAGCAACACTCCTCTCTGGCCTCCCAGTCTGGTCCAGGGTGGAAGGAGAGCGTGTGTGTGTGGCCATGTGGCGCTCTGCTGAACAGTGCAGCTTGCCAAATCAGTAGGAGATCTGAGGGTGGCTTTCGGCCTTTGCTCTGTACAAATACAGGGCGTGGTCGGCCACATGTTTCTCAAGCAATATACACAGGGAGGGCAGCAAGACCTCCAAACAGCTGTTAGTCAACAGCTGGCCCTGCAGCGTGGTGCTGTCCACCTGACTCTGAACGGGCCTCTCAGGGCTGGGCCCGAGCTCTCCCACCCGCCCTGCTTCCCCACCTCTTAAGCATGCTGCTCTCTGGGGGCACCAGCCCCTGCACTGCCCTGGAAACCAACATGGACCACCCAAGTCCCTGTGGAGGCACCGGGCACTGGTGCCCCCAGCTCCTCCATCCGGGAACCTGGGTGGGGCCAGCAAATGTAGTCTGGTGCCCTATCCTTTCTCCCATGCCTCGACCTGTATCTTTGGATTATTAAGTTACTTCTAGGTATATCAAATGGCTCTGATGGTTAAAAAGTTATAAACAATTATGAAGCCCCTTGCTAAGTCAGGACAGACACCAGGATGAGAAAAATAAGCGGAAAAGACGCAAGTAATCAGGTCTAGTTTTTAAAGACAGAAAGGCCTACCATACAGGACTAATGCTAGTCCCCCCATGTGCCCCACTAATACACACTCTTGCTGGAAGGCAGTTTTGGAGGGCCCTAGAAAGGTCTGCTTCAGAGCATTCCTGCACACACCTCCGGGGCCGGGGCAGGGAAGGGACCTCTGTGTGCCCACAGAATAAATATAACCCAGTGCCAATGCTGGGAGGCAGCGACAACTGTGGGTTTGCTATCGAAACAATGAAGACCGGGATGATGCCAGGCTAGGGGGTGATGCTCCAGACAGCCCGAGTGCTCTTTTGGGAGAAAGGGCTGCAGGTGGAGATGTCAAGACTGGCCAGGGGAAAGAAAAGAAACAGTGACCAGAAGTTCCCTAAGAATTTCTTCCATGTCATAGACATGCCCGCAGGCCTGCCTGTCCACTGTCAAAACAGCAGTCCAACAGCCACCGAGTTTCCTGCTGATGTAGGGGCTTTGCGCAGGGCTGCAGCTGCTGCTCGGTGTGCTGGCACTCCAGGGTCAATGATGCTCCCTGAAGCGGGACGGCTGCACGGGGCCACAGGTGTTGATTCAAAAGCTGAGAAGTAGGAGAACAGACTAAGGGCGACATCTCCCCACTCCAGCTCTGTAAGCTCCATGCAGCCTTGTAATGAGGACCTGGTAGGGTTCACTTGGGTCCAAAGGCTGCCAACCGGAAGGGCAAACAAATAGCATCTACCTTCTTCCACTTTCCCAGAAAGGAACGCGCCCCACCTGCTTCCTCCAGGCGTTAAATGGCTATCTGCATTTCTAAATACAGTTCCCTAATGTAGGCTGAGTGCTTTAGTCTGAGTTTTCTGAAGTCTCACGGTCTATGCTGCGGTTGTCTCTGACATTAAGCTCTAGGGTCTCTAAACTCTTTATCCTGACCCAACCCCCAGCTTAGAATCAAGTTTAAGCCAACAGTGGTTAAAGATCAGGACCCAGAGGTGGGTGGCCAACCTTCCCCAACACCTTCAAACCTTGCTAAGGCATAAGATTAGCTGCAGACATTGAAGGATCGAAGAAGATCCTAAATAGTGTGGGAGATGGTGACAGGTCTCAAAATAGTGGCAAGGAAGCCTTCCCGACAAGAAGAGTCGGGGCCCAGCAGCTCAGCGAAGAGGGAGACAGGCAACTGTGAGGAGATGCTCTGTTTAAGCACGTTAACGGCCCTGTTGTCTCCTCTGAGCTAGCCTGGACCTCCGTCTCCCGTCTCAGTGGCTGACCCAACAGCTTCCAGGGAATCCATTCAGACGCTGGGCACCCACGAGACCTACACAAGGAATCTGAGCCAGAGCACTAGGGCTAATGGGCAAGTCTAGATGGATCTTACCAGGCAGGGCAGCTCTGTCTCTAAAGTAACTAGGAATAAAAACCACACAATCTCAGTGGAAAGAACTACTTTGGGGCCAAATGCCACTGCTAGACAGCCCAAGGACAATCCCCCACTATGGACACACCAACAGGTGGTGGCAAGGAAGAACACATGGTCTAGCTGACACTTTGGCACCAGGCAAGCACTCATGGACATTTGCTGACTGACACGGTTAGGACAGTGAGCTCAGTAGTTGGGAGACCACACACAGGGCTAGAAAGGCTTCTTTCTGACTTTCAGGATGTGAGGTAGGAGAATATTCTGCAGCAACACCACTGCTCACCATCCACAGAAAGGAAGAGGGCTTATTTCTGGGGCCTTAAATGGAACATACATAGTTAGCCCTATTTTGCGAATAAGCTGTTGCAAAACAAAATGAAACAAACCCCCTCCCCCCCACCAAATGCTAAGTTTGCTGGTTGGACCATCAAACAATTTAATTTTCAATAGAGGAAATAAACATCTGAAGGAGGGGGAAATCCCCCCCCAACCCCTCCCTGCCGCCCCCCAGGGGGAAAAAAAAACAGAGAAACAATTGCATTTTTAAAAAATTCTAGAAGATCCTAATAGTATGAAGTGGCCTGAGAGTGTGCGTGGTCAGAGGGACTGGAAGGAGGGCTCGAGGAGGAGGGCGCCCTCTGTAGGTCTTGTCACCATGGACGTGACCGTCAACAGACACATGCTGACGGGGTGACATGTCCAGAGCTCTACGCTCATGGAGGAGGCCTGGAGAAAGCCCGGTCCTGGGCGTCCTGGCACCAAGGCCAGTTCTGAACGGCAAGCCATGGGGAGAGAAGAAAGTGGACCTGATCAGGCAGTCTACCCATCTGAGGAGAAGGGAGACAGCAAAGTGGGTTTAATCACATGGACCTGCTAGTTAACTGAGGAGGAACTCTTTATAACCGGAGGAGGAAATGGGGGCGGGGCCTTGCCCCAAATGGCAAAACACCAAACACGGAGGGATAGCTTCATGAAAGGAGGGGTTTGATTACTGGTTAAATTCACAGCAGAACCAAATAATTAAAAATTGCCATACGAATCACTAGAGGTTATCAGTTATCTTGCAAACCGTCAAAACTTGACTGCCACCAAGTCAATGTGGACTCAGAGACGGAGGGGCCGGGAAGAACTGTGCCTGCGGGCTTTGAGATCGAAACTCTGTATGGAACCGGAAAGCCCTGATTTCTCCGAGGAGTGCTGACCGTGTGACCTGCTGACTGCAGTTAGCAACCCAAAGCATCACCAACCACTACCTCACTGGACCTCCTACGGGGAGCTTGGACACAGAAAGATGTAGGAAAAAGTTCTGGAAAGAGCCTTAAGACCACAGCCGTGTGAAAAATGTTCTTACGACTTGCCTGGAAATCCCAGAACTCTCACAAAACGGCCGAAGCTTTCATCCTGCACAGACACATGTCGGGCACGCCAAGTTCTGCTCAGCACAGGCACTGGGCACTACAGCCACAGGCCTGCCCATTAGAGCCTGGCCAGGAGAGGAAAGGACCAAACTGCCCTCGGCAGGGAGACCGTGAGCTCCAGAGCTGTGTGCATGCCCTGACCAAAAGGGGCGCCGGCAAGAGCAGCCGCAGGGCCCTAGCTCTCTGCCTGCCTCCAGGCAGCAGGGCAACGTCCACTGGCAGGCAACAATTTTAACCTGGATGAGCAGAGAGGTGGCTGTCATTTTTTCTAGTTCATTCTCTAAGCCTTTCATATCTAAATAACAGGTGAAACGGAAGGGCACCTTAAATGCAGCACTCTCCTGGCTTTGAGAACATTGTTTACGATTTCCTACATCCACCCTCCCCTAATCCTGGACCTCTGGTGTTGTGTCTGTGGTGGGCAGCGCTGCTTCCTGTCCTAGAGCAACACCATGAAGAGGTGACCAGGACAAATCCACCCCAGGTCCGGTACCATTGATTGTGGGAGGGTGAAGGTCTCAGAGGCAAGAGGATGGAGCAGAAAGACCATCTAAGGAGAGCTGAAAGCCACGTGAAACGCGAGTCGGAGTTTTAGACCCAAAGGTGACAATATTGGAAGGAAGGGTGATCTAAGGAAGGTACTCTCTGTCTGGCCCCCTCGAGACAGACAGATGCTATACATCTTGGGGAGGGCAGAGCGATCAGCGGGTCAGGCTCTGCCAGGGAGGGAGGTCACACAGCGCTAGGGAAGTGGGCAGAGACACTCAGGCAGCATGGAGACCTGGATAACACTGCAGACCAGACTCTGCACCACAGAAGCGGCCAGCCTTCCCTCTGCCTAGCCAGCCAGTGTCCGCAGCACAACAGGTCTGACGACTGTGGGGTACAGAGCCCCAGGGTGCAGAGGCCGGGAGACTGCGAGGAGAGAGGAGGAGACGTTACGTTCCCAAAGCCACAGGCACAAGAGAAAGCCAAGGTGTTGGGGGCACCTACCATGGTGGTACCCCACTCTTTACAAAGATCTATCCAGTTCTGAGGATAAACGCCGAGCAACCCGCAGGAGCAGAAAATACTGCTCTGGGAAGAATGAATGCCCGTCCATGTCGTGCCACTTCGGGGACAAGGCAGCCATAGCAAGTGGCTGAGGCTCCCCAAGAGCTTCATGGCCTCCAGGTCGGAAGGCCACCCTGGAAGCAAATGCTCTTCCGTTCCCATGAAGTAGAAAACTCATGACTTGCATCAGGGCACAAATCGGGCACCAAGGCAACCGTCTCCCGCAGAGAGTTTTCTGGGGAGGGCGTGGAATGTGTGTGAAGGCCTCCATCAGTCATTCTGTGATTAGGATAATTACAATCTCTTATTTTAACAAATTCAATGTTCCTATAGAAACAGTGCTTTGGAGTGGCCAGTGTAGCTGCTAGTATCAAATATGATTATAACGATAAAGCAACAATACTCCTCCCGCATCCCCAAACTACCAAACAAACCAACACCACCATATGTAATAAAGAACATCCTACACGCTGTTTGGCCTCAGTACGGCTGGGGCATAGCAAGCCCACTACCGGTGACAGAACACAGAGGAGGAGGAGGAGGAAGCAGGAGGTAGGGGAAAGGGCAGTCTTCTAAAAATACACAACTTCTGCTATGCACAGGATAACCCGAATGAGAGGGGAGTGTTGGCATTCAAAGACACTCATACTAGGGTTGGGTATAATACCACAGTAAATGCAAGTCTTTTACAGATTCCTTGCCTTGGAGTAGTAACACAATCAGCAGTTTGATTTTTATAATCTCAGGACACACACAGACAGACAGACACAACATTTTTAACCCGGGAAAGTCTGAATCCTCACTGAAGGATTTACAACACAACATGTGCCCTACTGCGTTTTGGACCATCCCCCAGGTAGACTCAACTACAACACAATGTTAAAAGACAAAATCCACACTTTCTCTACATGGGGAGAGAGGACACCTTCTAATGCACGCTCAAAACAAACAAACAAAACATCCTAGCTGCTCCGCTTTCCTTCCACTGTTTTGAAATCTTGGAACCACAGTCGTGAGATCCCAGACAGACAGGGCAAAACTTGGCTGCGAGGCTCCCGGGGAAGCTGGCACTGGCAGGTGCTCGGCGAGGACAGCAGGAACCTCCAGCTTACCGGTCCTCCACAACAGCTGCAGGGAGGGGAGGTGCTAGGTGGCGACGTGGGCGGGAGAAGAAATTGAGACAAATTCCCGGAGAATGTTCTTGGCCATTTCGATGTTGTTGTGGGCAATGACCAGGGCTTTCTGAATGTCTTGGTAGGAGTAACCCTGACTCATGAGGCTCTCGATCTCACTGGAGAGCTGAGGTGAGGTGGCGGCAGCGGCGGTGGCAGTGGCACCCCCGCCCTGCTGGCAGCCACCCACCTTCCGTTCAGAGTTGATTCTCCGAGGGAACGGTTTGGGGGGCCGCTCAGGAACTTGAGAACCCTCAGTGAAGTCTAGGAGAAATAGGAAACAAAATATTTGCAAATGTGTGTGTGTGGGGTGGGGTGGTGAGGGACACACAGGTTCTTATGAATGGCAGTTAATAACAACCATTAATAACAATATGTTAATATAAAGATATCGTTATGGGGGGGAAAGATATCACTACTGTGTACACGCCTCTTCGAGAAGGTGAGATTTTAGAGCTCCAGCGCTCTCGTTTATCATAACCAAGGCTCTACTCAGAAGGGGCCCCCCTAAGCTTACAGGAGCCTCTCCCATGAACAGGACCACCTGCCATCATGAGCACACTAACATCTGTCTCTACACCAGGCTGCGCACTCGGTGACAAGCTTGCCCACGCAATATTGTCTTGTTGTTTGAAAAAATATATTGGGGGCCAAAGAAAGTAGATACTCAAGGTCTCCTTTTACAAATAAGGAAACAGAAATTGGCTAAGTTGTAGTGAACACGTGCTAACCAAGATTGGGTGGGTAGACATCACTGTCTGTTTGGGCAATGGGATGCGCTATATCTCTGTCACCAGTTGTCCTGAGAGATGTCTTACATTCCCAAAGGGACAGGAGTCTATATGCTGTTCTACCAGGCCGCCACAGGTGCAAGAACATTCCTTGAGAGCCAAGACCCAAATGTGGGCTGGCTCCAGGCCCATCCAGGGTGACCCAGCATGTCTGTGTCCCAGGGCCTAGAAGTCAGGACCCATGTGGTCTGAACCATCATAGCTTAAGCACCTCTGTCACAACGCAGGCTCACAGCAGCTAGAACACCCCTGCCCCCCACACAGGGGAGCCACCACCTCCCCTCGCCTGGCAAAATCCTAAAAAGCCTGGTTCACGGCTGAGCTTCCTAATTTGGGCCCTAGAACCAGCTTTCGTCCCCTTTGGATAGTAGGGTTTCACTCAGAAATGGGGGGGCACTCACTGGCGGTGGAATCCCCATCCAGAGAGAGCCAGGCAAAGGCGGAGCTGGCGTTGGAGATATCTGAGAGAGTTCGGCGGGCCAGCACTGCCGGCACAGGGGGCTTAGGGACGTCGTAGCCATCTTCCTCATTCTCCGACTCCTCGGCGACGGCGTTGGCATGAGCTGCCGCCAAATTCCCGTCACCTAGAGAGAAGTTTCGGCAGTTATTCCCGACTCCCTCTTCTAACATGTGTCACTGTCGGGCGGTCTGTCGTGCAGCCACGTACACGGCCAGTTTGTTTTCTAGGCAACAAACAGCTACCAAGCGGCTACTGACCAAAACCCAAAAATCCTGTGAAGCCCTGTGGGTGGAGATAAACACATAGAGAAATAAGGTCTGCTCCAATCCTGCCACTCTCGTTCTCGAACACGCCCAAGGAGCCCTGCGGGGGCGGCAGCCCTGCCCCAAGAACACTTCACAGGCCTCACCACAGAACACGGGTCAGAGAGCTGCATGTGTGCCGGCTCCTTGAGCTCTCCACTTGGTGAACCAGTTAGCATGGGAATTGAGTATTCACCACCCCCACACACAAGAATTTCGCCAATGCTACGCAGCAATGGGAATTAAACCAGGAGAGCGGCTAGTGCTCCAGGCCAGGGGCACGGGGTGCACGTGTACCTCCCGTAGAGACAGAAAGAGCTAGCTGTGTGAGCAGGAAATCAAAGAATGAAACTCATTCAACACACACTGCAGGCCCGTCTTCTAAGTAGTAGAAAGGTAACTCACCAAAGGTACTGCTCTCTGGGATGGGCGTGGCCTGGGACTGAATATTATACATGGCTTCATACGTGCAGCTGTCACCCTGCTGGTCACAGTCACTCGCTCTGTGAAGGAGAGAAAGGGCCCCGGTGATCCTCAGACCCATAACTCCGTTCACTGCAGACTCCCCGATAGGGCTAACGAAGGTGCAGACAGCCACTCCAGACTCTATTCTGTGAGGACAACAGGTTCTTTTGCCAGGAGGACGTCTAAAGCGCCACAGGTGGCTGTGCTGTTGAGAAATCCTAAGTGGCTCTGCTTACATCTAGCAGAGGCTGGATACATCTTGTTGAGGAACAGATACAGAGAAAGGAAACAAAATTGCTTCTTGGAGTGTTTGCACGCAGTGTATAGGTAGCAAGCCAAGCAGTGAGTGATGCCCGAGGAGATTCCCTTAAAGGTGTTGGTGCAAAGCAGGCTTGTTGTGAACCTACCGGGAACTCGGCGCTGTCTCCACCAAAGGCCTCTTTGGCTCTGGCTTCTGCAGGCTCAGAGGCCTAGAGGAGGGAGTCATATACTCAGCGTCCTCCTGGCTTTCGCCCTGCTCCCCAGGGGGCAGCTTTGGCACAGGAAGAGGCCTGGAAGACAAAAGATGGGAAAAGGTAAACAACAAAAACAAACAAACTGAAAAAACACCTGAAACAGGAGGCCAGTTTTAAAAAGGAAAATGAGTTTGGCAAGCTCGGCAAGGTCCGCGTGGCTTCCAGCTGCCCTCAGCTCCACCTTGGTGTTGACTTTGAGAGCCACCACAGGGAGAGCAAGGAGCCCATCCTGAGCGGCCATCTCCCCCGCTGAGGAGGCGCGGCCCCGGGGCGGAAGATGCGTGACCCGGAAACAGGCACTCGCACCGTTAGTGCCAACCAAGCCCGCAGTAGATCACCCGGGGCATCTTGGCCAAAGAGCTGGCACTCCTGTTCCTCTTTCATTAGGGATGACAGCGGGTAGACCCCCCAAAGCCAGACTGTGTTTTCCAAAGTTCAAAGCTAGGTTTGTAATTTTTTTTTTTACAAAACAGCCTATCACCTCAAAGCACTCTCCGTCGCCCTCCACACCTGTCGAGTCTGCAACCCGTCCTTGGAGGCACTTCAAACTCATCTGTGGGTGCCTCGCCTCTGGACACCCATCAGGACAGGGCAGCCACACCTCCTTCCTTTTCCCTTCCCCTAATTGCTGTCCTTTCATGTCCCTCTGCATTTCTAGAAACAAAAAGAAGTCGCACGGAGAGAGGCCAGGCAAGGCAAGTGTGTGGGGCAAGAGAGGCATGCTGTTTTTTTGCCAAAAACTGGCACACTGAGATGGCCGTGTGAGCAGGTGCATTGTCGTGGTGGCAAAACCAGTGCCCCGGCTGCCACAATCAGGCCTTTGTCACACATTGTTACACCATCTTTTCAGAACCTCTAAATAGAAAGCTTGATGAACAGTCTGACCTGGTGGGACGACCTCCAAATGCACTATCCCCCTCACATCAAAAACAAAAAAAAAGAAAAACGAGTATCTTCTTGATACTTGATTTCATATGAGTTTTGGGGGCGAGGTGATGATGGCGGCTTCCACTGGCTTGACTGATGTTTGCTTTCAGGGTCATAAGAATAGCACCATGTCATATGCTTGACACAACTGATGTATGGATTGTTCTAAGAGCTGTAAGATCCCCCAATAAGATGATCTTTTAATTAAAAAAAACCACACACAAACACAAAAGAATAGCACCTTGTCTCATCACCAGTAATGACCTTGGAAAAAAGTCTGGGTCACTGTTCTTTCACAAAGCAGACATGTTTCCACTGGACACTCTTTTCCCTGGTCAGTAAGAACCCAAGGCACAAAATCTGCAGCGACCCTCTCATTCCCAAATCTTCCATTTAAATTCGGTGAACTGAGCTACAATATAGTCCAGATAACTTCCCCATCTCTTCAATGGCCCCTCAGTCTTCAAGTGCAAGTAGTGTATGAACTTTGTCAACATTTTCGTACTTTCAGGAAGTTGACGGACGTCCAGAACAAGGTTTATCATCAATTGATATTTCAACTTCTTTGAAATGAGAACCTTCCCAGACGACGCCATTGGGTCACTAACTCAGGGTGAGTTGCTCGATGCTCCCCTAGTGGGAAACATCTGCCCAATGGTACCCCTTATGTTAGCCATGTCTATCAACTTCACAACCTACCTATGATTAAAATAACCATTGTAATATATATAAATATATATACGGACTGTCAAAAGCCTCCTCATCCTATCTCACCGTGCAAACACACTTTCTTTTCATTTTCAACAAGACAAATCTGGCAGAGAATGCTAACGTGACTTGGCAGTTGTCCCTATCTTCTGACGAGCACTCTGGGGATCATGATCTTGCCATTTTGCTCACATAAACCCTGTCCCAGAAGCTTCAGAAATGAAATTTCTGGGATACTATGCCCTGAAACAAGACAAATAATAGAATCCAGCCAGCAACTGAATGTGGAAAGAGGCGAGAGCACCACGCAGGGAGATGCAATTGCTTCCCTTCCACATACGTGTCTGCACACACGCCAAACACACGGCCAGGGGCACCCACTGCTTTTACAGCTCTGTCTGCATTACAAATGGACACAAAGATCAAACTTCACTGAGTGACAGCATAAGCTGACTTACGTTAGCTCTATTTTGTTCTGAAGGGCATCAAAAAAGTAAGATATGTGGGAAGTATAAACTAGATCTGTAATAAAACAAGCATAACAAATATATCTGAACCAAGTCTAGTTGGTGAGTATACGGTGTTTACTGTAAAATTATTTCTATTTCATTGACATTTTCTACAATAAAATGCCAGTAAGGAAAAAAAAATCATCCATAAAGATTAAGTAAAGAAAGCATTGAGGTTCTATTAAATTGGCATTCTATGATGCTCACCTTCCCGACACAACCGCTGAAGACAAAGCAGGTGAATAAGCAAATGTGGTGAAGAAAGTTGATGGTGCCCGGCTATCAAAAGATATAGTATCTGGGGTCTTAAAAGCTTGAAGGTAAACAAGCGGCCATCTAGCTCAGAAGCAACAAAGCCCACAGGGAAGAACATATCAGCCTGTGTGATCACGAGGTGTCGAAGGGATCACTGAAGACAAATGGGTGCATAAGCAAATGTGGCGAAGAAAGCTGATGGTGCCCGGCTATCAAAAAGTATAGCGTCTGGGGTCTTAAAAGCTTGAAGGTAATGAAGCGGCTATCAAGCTCAGAAGCAACAAAGCCCACAGGGAAGAAGCACACCAGCCTATGCAATCATGAGGTGTCGAAGGGATCAGGTACAAGACATCATCAGAACAAAAAATCTTACCATAGTGAATGATGGGGGGAGTGCGGAGTGAAGACCCAAAGCCCATTAGTAGGCCACTGGAGATCCCCTTGCAGAGGGGTTTAGGGGAGGAGATGAGCCAGTCAGGGTGCGATGTAGCAATGATGAAAAATACAACTTTCTTCTAGTTCCTAAATGTTTCCTCCCCGCTCCCACTATCATGACATGAATTCTACCTTGCAAGTCTGGCTAGACCAGAGGATGAACACTGGTACAGATAGGAACTGGAAACACAGGGAATCCAGGGAGGATGAGCCCTACAGGACCAGTGGAGTGAGTGGCAATACTGGGAGGGTAGAGGGAGAGTGGGTAGGAAAGAGGGAACCGATTACAAGGAACTATATGTGACCTCCTCCCTGGGGGACGGACAACCGCAAAGTGAGTGAAGGGAGACGTCGGACAGGGCAAGATATGACAAAATAACAATATATAAATTATCAAGGGCTCATGAGGGAGGGGGGAGCAGGGAGGGAGGGGAAAAATGAGGACCTAATGCCAGGGGCTTAAGTGGAGAGGAAATGTTTTGATAATGATGAGGGCAATGAATGTACAAATGCGCTTTACACAATTGATATATGTATGGATTGTGATAAGAGTTGTATCAGCCCCTAATAAAACAATTAAAAAAAAAAAAAGGAAGAAAGCATTGAGGAAAGTATTGGGGAGGAGGCATTTTCCTATACAGCTGTAGAAATAAAAAACCTGTGCACTGCTGGAGTGAACTTCAGCAAACATACTAAACCCAAAGTGTCTCTGCCTTGGACTCATTACACCCATCTCTGAAAATTTTCCCTAAGGAGATAATGAGGAATACCCACTAGAGCATTATTTATATGTAGTACTAAAATTAAAATCCTAAGTGGCAAGCGATCAGGCCTACTACTTTAAAACCATTTAAAAGTCAAGGTCATTAAAGAATATGTAATAACAAAGATGTTCAAGATAGCACCTTGTCTTGCTACAAATGCACAGAAACTTTTACTTAGCAAACTGTCAAGACACGAAGGAGCCCTGATGGCATAGCAGTTCTGAACTGGGCTGCTAACCACAAGGTCAGCAGTTCTGTACCACCAGCCTTGATGAGGCTTTATACTCCCCTAAAGAGCTACAGTCTCAGAAACCCCATTCTACAGGGTGGCCATAAGTCAGACCAATGATGGCTGTGAGTTTGACATTAGTTTATCAAGATTTGGAGCTATTGCTTTTCAACATATACCCTCCCACTGATGTCTACACATTCCTGAAGGCAGCATTTACCCTACCCTGAAGGAGCCCTTGTGGTGTAATGGGTTATGTGTTGGGTCAATGGTTCAAACCTACCAGTGGCATCTCTTAGGAAACAGAGGACGTTTTCTGCTCCCATGAAAATGTGCCACCCAGAGAGCTAGAGGGGAAGGCCTACGCTGTACTGTAGGGTTGCTGAGTCCGAATGGAAGCAACAGCAGTGACTGTGCCCCCTTGGGTTTGCACCACAGAACAACAACAGTTTTGCCACCTTCAAGAGACTCACATAAGGGAACCGATTACATGGAACTGTGTGTGACCTCCTCCCTGGGGGACAGACAACCGAAAAGTGGATGAAGGGAGACGTTGGACTGGGCAAGATATGACAAAATACC